TCTGCGGAGGAGGACAAGCCAGAGCTGGAGCCGATGGAGATTGAGGGAGTGGCTTCATTGGCTTCGGAGGAATGTGGGGAGGAGCAGGATGAGGCAGACCAGGGCCCCTCAGGATTGGGATGGCTGGTTAGCAGGGAGGAAGGGGACCAGGATGACTGAGAGAGGGCAAACAGTGGAAATGCGGATGGGTGGGGCTCAAGTGATGAGCAAGGACCGCCCCCTCCTGATCCCTGAGCACGGAGAGTGGAGAGAAGATGGGAACAGCGCAAGCAAACCTGACGACTCAGGAGGAGAGCTCCCCGCCTCTCTTCACAAGGCACACCTGGGGTCTGAGATTTAAGGAGACGCTGTGTGTTGCTTCTTCCTCGCTTTGTGGACTCAGTGCCCTGTTCCTTGCATCGTGGACCCATAGTTTGTTCCTTACTTTGTGAATTCAGCGCTTCTTCCTTGCTTCATGGACTCATTTCCCTGTTCCTTTGCTTTGCTGGACTGTGCAACACCCAAAGACTGTCATGCCGGCCACGTGACCACGGAGACGTCTTTGGACAGCGCTGGCTTTGCTCTAAGACATGCCAAGAATGTGGGAGCGTTTGGGAGGAAATTTGGAGCATTAAAGGGGAGTCTGAATTCTCAGCTGGCTGTGTGACCCTTCGTGCCTTGTCCTGGGTCATCACAAATAGCGATAGCAATAGCATCTAGATTTATATAGCGCTTCACAGCCCTTTACTGCCCTCTCTAAGCAGTTTATAGAGTCAGCATATTGGTCTCAACAACCTGGATCCTCGTTTTACTGACCTCGGAAGGATGGAAGGCTAAGTCAGCCTGGAGCCTGATAGTCATTTCTGTGTTTATTATATGTATAGCCTGTCTTTTTTGTTCGGGGGTACAGGTACAAAGATGGTATTCAGCAGGTTCTGACCAGTCCTGGAGAACTGGCAGTGGATATTTTGAGTAGTCCAGAGAACCGGCAAATCCTACCTCTGACTGGCCCCGCCCCCATCTATTCTCTGCCCTCCGAGTCCCAGCTGATCGGCTGGGCCTTCTTTGGTTGCCCTGCACAGGAGAACGGAGCTGGAAAGCAGGTTAGTGGGGTGGGGAGGGAATGGAGATTTTACAGTATCCTTCCCCTGCCACACCCACCAAGCCACACCCTCAGAACCGATAGTAAAAAAATTTGAATCCCACCACTGTATAGGTAGTCCTCAAGTTATGACGACAACTGAGCCCAACATTTCTATTGCTAAGTGAGACATTTGTTAAGTGAATTTTGCTGCATTTTACAACCTTTCCTGCCACAGTTGTTTAGTGAATCACCGCAGTTGATAAATTAGTAACCCAGTTGTTAAGTGAACCTGGCTTCCCCATGGACTTTGCTTGTAAGAAGTTCGCAAAAGGTGATCATGTGACCTCAGGACACTGCAACCATCATAAATACATGCCAGTTGCCAAGCATCTGAATTTTGATCATGTGACCATGGGGACATTGCAACAGTCATAAATGTGAAGAAAAAAAAACCAGCCATAATTCACTTTTTCAGCGCCTTTGTAACTTTGAAGGGTCGCTAAATGAACTGTTGTAAGTCAAGGAGTACCTGTGATACAAATAGCTCTCTTTTTTCCTGTTTTGTCCCACAGATCCTCTCAGAGTATATTCATGATCTGGAATAGAGCATGGTAACAAGGTCAGCCAATGAATAGGCATAGCAACTAAGTCAGCCAATGAGGACTGTTTGGAAACTGAAACTAGAAGTAGCCTAGGCGTGGCTCTATGTTAGGCTCTGCAAGTCTGCAGCTATGTTAAGCTCTGAGTCTGTCTATTGAAAATGAAATTGCTTCTCTCCTCTGCTTGCCTGCTGAACTAAAGTGAAACTGATGTCTGTTTCTGAGCTCCTGAGTTGCTACTAAAGTTACTTGCAACATCTTTCTGTCTGAGTTTGCTCCATGTTGGAGAAATCTACAACTGGTTTGTAAAATCTACTTGTTCTGTTTATAAAGATGTTTATTGAAGCACCAGCCATCTGTGTTTATTTTTCTGGCACTGAAATAATGCTGCAAAACTCTGAAGATTCCTAATGAGATACGTTTGGGTTCTCGGACTGTGACCTGGACCTCATTTTTTTTTTAAAAAAAGAAACTGATCAGACTGGCTCTATCAAAGCTTTTTACAGCCTTCTTAATCCCCAGTGCAGAATTACAAAGTTAGAGAAGCCCTGTGATATGTAAAGATCAGTGGTGGTATTCAATTTTTTTTACTACCGGTTCTGTGGGCGTGGCTTGGTGGGTGTGGTGTGGTTTGGTGGGTGTGGCAGGGGAAGGATATTGTAAAATCTCCATTCCCTCCTCACCCCACTAACCTGCTTTCCAGTTCCATTCTCCTGTGCAGGACAACAAAAGAAGACCCAGCCAATCAGCTGGGACTCAGGAGGCAGAGAATAGTTGGGGGCGGGGCCAGTCAGAGGTGGCATTTGCCGGTTCTCCGAACTACTCATAATTTCCGCTACCGGTTCTCCAGAAATGGTCAGAACCTGCTGAATACCACCTCTGGTAAAGATATTTCATTTTTAATTCTTACAAGAAATGTATTCATTTCTTATCCATCCCCATACTTCAGTGAAAGCATTTTTTTTATTTATTCACAGGGAGATGAGCAAACTAATTTATCATCAGGAAGTTGCAACACTGTAGATTTTGAGAGACATTATAAAGCAAAAAAAATCACAAAAAGTAGGCCTTGCTGATGTGAATTCGATAAGAAATTAATGGAATCTAAATCAGGAGCAGTCAGTGAATCTGGAACTGATGTTTTTTTTTTTTTAAATATCATTAAAAAAACTTTTCTGGCATGTGAGGAATCCTGTCGCTGGTGTTCAAACAACTGCTAGAAGCTGTAGCCATGATAGTGGGGGGGGGTTTCTGGCTCTGCCTGCCTCGGGAAGCTCATGAACAGACAGTAGCAATGGGTCCGCTCTTGAAAACAACCTGTTTTCATTTTGTTATTTGTTTTTTTTTACATTAGTGAGCAAATCCTGCTAAAATTGGTTTAAAACCCTTTTTCTTCCCGCATCTAAAAAACCAAGATTGGCACGTCTTTAGGACAAACGCTAAAAAATTGCTTGTTTATTTATTTTAAGAAAGTTGTGTAGCCACGATATTGTAACAACAACCCTGCATAGTGGGAAACACATTTAAAACATAAACCAAACCCAAGGGTGGGATTCAAATGTTTTAACAACCGGTTCTGTGGGCGTGACTAGGGTGGGTGTGGCTAGGTGGGCATTGCCTCATGGCTTCTTGGTCATGGCTTCTTATTTTTTTGCAGCACCCCCCCCCCTGTTTTTTGGGGGGGGCTCAGGGAAGACTCCTGGGTGAAGACAGTGAGGGGGGTCCTAGCACAGCTGATCAGCAGAACAGCTGATCGTCAGGAGGGGGGGGAAGAAATACCTTAAGGACTGACTGGGCGGGGAGGGAGGGGAGGGGCTAGCCAGGGGCACGATTTGCCAGTTCTTTGAACGGCGCAGAATCCTAACAACCGGTTCTATAGAACCGGTCCGAACCAGTAGAATCCCACCCCTGACCAAACCATCAAATAAATATCATTAAAAATGTTACTTACGTTATCCCAGGATTGCACTATATCTGCATAATGTCTTGTTGGACTCCAGCCTGAGTCGATAAGGGATTGAATGAATCCACCCTGAAATCAGTTATTTGGGACTTACATCTCCCATTATGAATTTAATTTATGGAACCCATTGTCCGGGATGATGCCACAGTTAAAAATAAACATCAATAGAAAAAATGTACTCATTTATTTAGAAGGGAGCCTTAATTTTCATTCTTGAGAAGTTTACCATTCCATACAAGAAGCAGCTGTATTTCAGAGCTTTAAGTGAGGCTGCCACACTCCCTAATTTAAACTGTGCCTGAAGATCTGTGCAAATATAAAATCAGATCTATCATGCATGTATAAATTTCAACAGTGGACCTGCTGTGAATGTATTACACTAGAAAACAGTTGCTAAATGCAAATCTTTGCTTGATGAGTAAGCTTGTTTAGTCCTCACTGCTAGTGCAAATTGATGAATATTTAAATACACTGCAATATACAACTAAAGGATGCCTTTTAATATCCTGAATAACAGTTTCTTGTCAGATGAGCAACACTGATGCTGTGGTTTTTATTCTTGGTTGTATTTTCTCTTCTCCTGATTCTAAGCATTGTTGCCTTTAAAATCATAAAAGAAATGTTCTAATATTTCCTGATAATGTGAGGGTGATTCTGGATAACACATTCATTGCACATTTGCCTTACTCCAATCACTGAATATTAGGAAAGGTTTAGATACCCTCATCTTTCATTTATAATTCTTCCATATTTCTTCCATCACTTCTTTACATCCTTTTCTCACTACTAAAAAGCCATTAAGGAAGAATAGCTGTAGAATGCTTTTGGACTGGCAAAGAATTAGTCCTATATCTAGCGGACCCAAGGGGCTTGAACTCTTTAAATGTGTGCTTTGCCAAATTTCAGAAGGAATGTGAATAAGGTGGAACAAAACTTAGTTTTCCTTCTATAATGTTCCTGATCTTAGACTGCACAAATTGGATGACCAGTAGATGGGGTCGAACAGCTAGTGTTTTCTCTATTTATCTCTGTGGCCATGCAGTGGTAGACTTGAGTTTTACAACCCTGTATATATTACACATTATTATTATTATAGTTGTTGTTGTTGTTAATCTTTATTGTCAGAGTACAACATGTGTATAATGAGATTGGCTATATTACTGGCGGTAATACAGATTGGCGCTATTATGATTGCTGTTGCAATACAAAATACGCATGGACTTATTTTTTCAACTAGATTGCAAGTGATGCTTGTATCCTAAGTATTTCAAAGTCATGCTTCTTTCTAGAGCCTGCATAAATGCTCAGAAAATGAAAAGGGTTGTTTAAAATGTCTTCAGATGCCAATAAAACACACCTTTTCTGATTTCTGTAGGTGGTAGCTTTTGATCCAGATCTCGCAGAAAATGGTTCCCTTGTGTACAGCATCAGACCACCAAATAAGTTTTACAGTCTTAATAGCACCACAGGGAAGATTCGGACAACAGGGGTCGTGTTGGACAGAGAAAATCCAAACCCCCAAGAAGCTGAGCTCATGAGGAAGATTGTGGTCTCTGTCACTGATCGTACGTCTGTTTAAGTTATATTAGCTGCTTCGTTATGTTTTTTACTAGGATTTCCTTCCATATTGCTTTATATTGTATATTGTTCATAAAACTTTGACTTTTCTCTCAGATATTATAGGGTTTTGAAATGGGTATTTCTTTAAAACTGCTACTTTTTAAATTCTGCTAAATTGTTTTCCCAAGATGACCTGATCCTTGAAATTTCTACCTCATTTTAAGATAGTTCACCATGACGATGCCGAGAGCAGTGGTGGCTAACGTTTTTGGGGTCCAGTCCCAATAATTGAGCTCGCGCTTGCGTGCCAGCACCCAGAAGGCAATGCGTGCTGGGTTCCCCCCCACACCCCCTGCACATGCATGCACAATTTTCCTCACATGCACCATGTATGTGTGCGCCTTCCCCCTGTGTGCACCATGCATCTGTGCATGCGTGTGCAATTCCTCCCATGTGTGTCATACATCTGTACATGGCATGGGGGGATTGTACGCATGCACAGATATGCATGGCCGATGGGAGTTGCGCAATTCCCTTGCATGCGGTTCACCTGCGCATACACGCGCGATCCCCCGCGATCCATGCATCTCTGCGCGTGTGTGCAATCTCCCTGCACGCTGCGTGTCTCTGCTCATGTGTGCACATCTCCCATGCACCCTGTGCGCATGTGCACCACATAACCAACAATCAGCTGTGGGGCGGCGGCATGCGCGCATGCGTAGTGAGGTTCTTCCGGGCGAGCTCTTGCGTGCCGGCAGAAGTGGCTCTCCTTGCCACTTCCGGCATGCATGCCATTGGTTTGCCAACACGGTCCTAGAGAGTCTCTTTGACAGGTTTCAATGGAAAAGGTGCTGGTGGGATTGATCTTGTGACTTTTCTGACCCCTACAGGTGGGAGACCACCATTACGGGCCACAAGCAGCGCCACTGTGTTTGTAAACTTGCTGGACCTCAATGACAATGATCCCACCTTCCAGAACTTGCCTTTTATCACTGAGATTCCTGAGGGTCTTCCAGCAGGGTCATCTGTCTTTCAGGTGAGTCTTATTTTTCATCTCAAGTACATGCTAACAAAAAAAAAAAAAAAATCCTGAAGGACATTTACTTTGAAGAACATAGTTTGGTCTATGTTAAAATTGGATTAGTGGTGGGAACGTCTAATGGCATTTTCTTCTCAGCAGTTTGATTACAGCAGTCCTCAACTTACAGCCACAATTGGGATGAGAATTTCCATTGCTTAAGCAAGTGAGTCATGTCCGATTTTATAATGTTTTTGCCATGGTCGTTAAGCAAATTGCCATGGTTGTTAAGTGATTCCAGCTTCTCCTGTTGATTTTGTTTGCTGGGGAAGTCACAAATGGCAATCACGTGATCTTGGGAACGACAACTATCATATATCCCTGCTGATTGGCAAGGGCCTGGATTTTTATCATGCGACTGCACAACGGCTACAGTCACAAGTCACTCTTTTCAGGGTAACTTCAAATGGTCATTAAACGAACAGTTGTGAGTCGAGGATTACCTGTACAGTTTTCTACAAAAGGCGACCCTTCCCTTTCAGAATTAAGCGATCAAATGCTATTTCTTTTGATATCATCTTCCCATTTTGTATGGTAAGACCCGGAAGAAGTTGGGAGAATGAAACATAATGATGAAACAAGCAGTTGGATAGCACAGTGCTTCTCAACCTTAACGATGTTAAGGTGTGTGGACTGCAACTCCCAGAATTCCCCAGTCAACATGCTGGGAGTTTACGCTCATGCATCTTAAAGTTGCTAAAGTTGGAAAATACTAGGATAGTATCATCCATGTTAAGCCAAAAAGGGAGTTGGTCCTGTCTCCGGAGGGAGTATACATTAAGAAAACCTCTCTCGACTTTATTCAGGAAAATCTGATTAAATATCAGGAGCCAGCACTGCCAAAATTTAGTGTTTGTTTTGTCATTTCTTCGCTTTGGATAATATTCCTATCAAACTTGAATTACCAATCTTAATTGTGTCTTTTATTATCAGCTAACTTTCCACTTAAATTTATTTCCTATATTTAAAAATAAGCAAGAGATTTAAATGTCAGTTGTAATCTATAAAAGCCACTCACGATGTCTTTCAACCTGCTATCTGAACACCATTGCATTAAGATTTGTAGTGCAATATTTGACTGTGATAGGAGTGGATGGGAAAAGATAAAAATAATTTAATAGTATCATTATTATGCTTAGTGCAAGTAAATATACTGTGAATCAGACTGACAAGTTATTAAAAGTAGCTGTGAATTTGATATCTGGTGATAGATAAGGTTCACTCTTGTTTGCCAAGATTACATTAAGCATACAGTGATACCGTGGTACTCAGCTGCTTCAAAACTCATGGTACTAGACTAATTTTGATGTGGAAATGTTGTCCCAGTACTCATCATTTGTTTGCTACTTGATGTGCTGCAAAAGGAAGCTTGGGGTGGTCTCAGAGGGCGGATGGGAAGTCAGCCATGCTGGGAAGATCACTGACATAGTAAAAGGGACAGACAGAAAGTTCTCCCCAGCCTAAACAAAGGGTCACGTGATAAGTCACGTGGTTTGCTTGGTACTTGTCCTTTTTAGTACTCGTCACATCTCCTGGAACCAATTAATGATGAGTTCCAAGTTACCACTGTATTTGAAACAGCTGTCTTCCATGACGCTCCACAACAGAATATTCAATGCTGGTCTTCCTGAGACCATAATTAAGCACACACTTAGTCAAAATAACTCTTGTTTTATTGAAATGCTGGGAATTATTTTCATTCCCAACACTTAATGAGTCCCAAACAGTCCCTCGAGATAAGCACCCACCTTTCTCTCCTTTGAATTGCTGCCAACAACTAAAATGCCAAATTAACGGTAAAAAAACCCAACCGAAGTACAAATTCCACCCAGAGCTTCAAAGTTTAATCCGAACAGAGCGAACAACTTTGCTTCCTGCAAAGGTTTCTCTACCTTTGCACCTCCTTTATACCTTATGGGAGGGGCAATCACCTCCAAGCCTTACTCCCGAGTCACCCCTTTTGTCTCAGCTGCTCTTGACTTCTAGTAGTTCTGTGCATGCGTGCACTGGGAACAGGCTCCCCTGGGTCCTCTGCCTCACTGCTGCCAGACTCCGGAGGCTCCAGAGTCAGCACCCCCCTCCCAGAAGGTCCTGGCCCCATCCCTGCATCATACGCAGGACCCTCGTCCGAACCCTCCCAAGACTCCCGGACTGGTCCCCCGTTCTTCCCCACTGTTCAATTCTGCTGCCGTCTGCAGAGGCTGCCGGCGAACCGCAACAGCTGACGTAGTGACTCCATAATGGGGAAATTTTGAAAACTGCTACCTATATCTCAGGAAAATAAATTGCTAACTCTGCCGAGAATTTTAGTGTGTGTGTGTGAAAAACTGGTTTTCTCTCTCTTCGGGATGAGTTCCTCAACGTCTTGTGCTTTGTGTCCTAGGTGGTGGCCATAGACCTTGACAAGGACTGGAATGGCCAAGTCACATACCGCATGCAGGTGGGCATGCCCAGGATGGATTTTGTCATCAACAGCAAGACCGGTCTTATCAACTCCACCGCTATTCTAGACAGGGAGAGAATTGCTGAATACTACCTGAGGGTAGTAGCAAGCGATGCAGGGGAACCATCCAAAAGCTCTACTAGCACCCTCACGGTCAGAGGTGATTGACGGGCTGACACACTTTGAAGGCTTGGGTCAATGTCACAACTATATCGTATTTTATTGGTGGTTTTCCAAAGCTTGCACAGGGATTTCTCTCTTCTTCTAATAGCTCTAGATCACATTCTGTGCGTTAGTTGGGTCAGCAGAGCATCATCAATGGGTTGGTGCCTTCTCAGTTGGCTCAAGTAAGGCCAGACTTTAGAGAAACCAAATGTGGCATGTATCCTGAGTTATCCTGGATATGAATGACAAAATCATACAAATCAGCATTTCACAAAGGTGGCAACTTTAAGATATGCAGGCTTCATTCTGGTTGGGGAATTCTGGGAGCTGAAGTCCACATATCTTAAAATTCCTTAGGTTGAGAAACACCAATATAAGTTGTGGCAGGAAGTTACTCTAGACCATTCCAGAAAGGAAAAAAAATCTTTGCATTTATGCGTTAAATTTCTACCTTGCCTTTATTTTTTGTAAGGTGGTATTCATGTTTCCTCTTTCTATTTTCCCCAGGATAATAACCTTGAGTTATGGGTTGGGCTGAGAGAGAGTAACTGACCCAAACTTACCCAGCCAACATCTATTCTGAAGGATGAAGTCTGTCTCCCATTTTCTAGTCTAGCATCAAAACCACTGCACCAAACTGTCTCTAAACTGTCTCCAACATCTGGAATAATATATAGCATATATCATATCATAATCATATGCAGTATATTGTTTTCCATCTGAGTTAATATTACTAATATAAACAATAAATATGTTTATTATGTTTTCCTGTGTTATCACTGTATTTTCCAACTTACTTCTCATTTCTCTCTAGCTCAGATTCTCTCACTCCATAAATTCTAGTGCAGCCAAACAGTTTAATAGCCTAAAAAGATTGCAATCTATGTCAGTTCATTCCCTCTCTTTCCCCTTTCAACTCTCTAGCTGAGTGTTTTTCAAACCTAGCAACTTTAAGATGAAGGCTACCTGGGGAATTTTGGGGAGTTATAAGTCCACACATCTGTTCTTCCTTTAATTAAGCTTCTTTTTATGTATTGTTGTAGCCAATTTCCTGGTCTTTTACCGTAAATAAACAATAAAGACATCTACCTAATAAAGTAACTGGCAGTAATTACTGTATGGTTGGTTGTAGGTTCTTTAAGGAAGTCCAGAGAATGCTTCTATTGTTCCCCGGAATGAAGTTTGATCAAATTCTCTCTTATAGTTTTAGATGTGAATGATGAAAACCCAACCTTCTTCCCAGCTGTCTATAATGTGTCACTTCTGGAAAATGTACCACGTGACTTCAAAGTAGTCCGCCTGAATTGTACTGACACCGATATGGGCCTTAATGCTGAACTTAGTTATTTCATCACAGGTATGAGCTTCCACAACTCCAGGGTTAAAAGCCACCTGGTTCATAGGGGACACAATAATAGAAACCACTTAGTTCTGTCTTTATTGCTATTTTCCTTTCGGATTTATATCTTGCCATATCCCAAAGGTTTGGGGTGTGGTGCTGACAAGTTATTCAGTTTGTTTTAAAAATGCTTATTAGGTTTACAATAAAAGATCCAAGGAGGAAAAAAGCATGTAAATTGGGAAAATAAACATACACTTAAAGAGAAAAGAGTATGAAATTATACAGTTGCCTGTTAATGCAAAGGGATTTGATTGTAGGAACACTTTTTTATTGATTGATTGATTAGATTTGATTTGATTTGTCAATCGCTTACAAGATAATAGATATAAGAATAAACATAAGTATGAATACAGGAAATAGGTACAAATAATGGGGGGCAATATGACAGGGATGGTAGGCACAATTGTGCACTTATGCACAATTTTGTATTATTTTTTTCCTCAGATGTGTGCCTTAATTTCTTTCCAAGAGAACCATCCTCTGATTGTTTTCTGGCAAAGTGAAGCTTCTGCCAATCCATCCCCTCTCTTGTAACTTGACAGGGGAGGCAACATCTTCCGTGGACAATAGTCTGTTTTCTTACCCACCTAAACTGTGAGAGCATCGGTGCAAAGCAGTAGGGGGAAGTAAATCTCTCTCAGCAAGGGGAGGCTTTCATCCTGCCATTTTCAAGGCTAATTTGCATGGAGATTTGCATACATTTTCCTATAATGTTTTGCAAATGATAGCAGAACTGTTTTGGGTTGTTTGCTCCTGAGAATTATCTATGCCTCATCAGACTGAAAGAGTCATCAGCTGCCTTATGTCTGCTGAATGTGAATATGACAGTTTGAAAAAGGCATTGTGGCTGAATCCATTTGCCATGTTTGTTGAAGGGTAGCCAGGTATGTTAAATTCAGATGTACATGCTGAAAAGACCTGAAGTTCCATTATAAACATGCATTCTTACAGCAGATCAAGTTTGATTTTAGGCCTGGATTTTTTTCTTTCAGATTTATGTGATTCCCATTGCAGAATGTATGAAATAGTTTTGATTGGTCATGATACTTTCTACATTTTAAAAATTTGAATGTATCTATGTATGTGTATGTATGTGTGTATGTGTATGTGTGTGTGTGTGTGCGTGTGTGTGTGTGTGTGTGTGTGTGTGCATCTCTCTGAAAGATGCACAACCTCTTAGCCTAACCTTTTGGATAGTGAATCATAATAAAAGAGAGTTTTTCTCTCAACTATGTACAATTTCATCATGCATATATTTTAATTTGTAATTTTATAATGTCACTTAAGGAATTTAGGATAATAAACCAGGTGTTATAGGATCTGAGCTATTAAGTCAAAGCACTTTCTTCTAAGATCTTTTCTATTCCACATATTGCATAATGTGCATTAAAAAGATTTTTTTGCTTCACATTTAATATCACATATTCTAAAAGAAGTTTTAATCCCGTGTTTTTAGTGGGAGAGATTTAAGAATGTAGTTTAATTCTGCCCAAATTGATCCACCAAACTAAGTATTGCATGCTCTTTATCTAGAGCCACCTGCATTGCTAATTGATAATCCCAGCTAGCTCCCCCCATCCCTGAACAGCAGAAAATAGCAAAAGTTACTAAACCTTTGAGGAACTGGCTGGTGCTTGACACCAAAGGAGCGTTTGGGCAGGGCTGCTTGGTGACCAAAAGTTGGCTCCTCTCTTTTGTTTAAATCAGCGAGACATAAAAGTACCTGCTTTTAATTGGATAAATGTTCCTTAGTTGGTTCTCACTGTAAGGTGGACTATCTCTTTTGCGTCATTGGTAAAATTATAAATGCATTATTTTCAAAGTCTTGAAATGTTGTCTGGTTTTGCCCTCTACTGCCCAGATCCCCAAATGACACCTAGAATTTTTGTCACATTCTTCATCACTTACTATATAAATTCAGGGATCAAAAGGGTTAACTTGGATGAAAAGGGGGAAAGGCATGGTGGGATAGAGCATCTGCATTTCCCAGATTCAGTCCGTAGTTTTCCAGGAAGGCTTTAAGAAATTCCTCCTATGAATTAGAATTAATATCCGTACTCGTGGATTAAGTGGGTCAACGATTTGATTTCAATAGAATGTAATTTCCATGACAATTCCTGACCTATGACAATTTAAATTTAATGCAATAAATCTGCAGTTTCCCTTCTGTCTAACTAAAACAATTCATTTTGAGATGCATTATTTAAAATAAGATTCCTCCTAATTTAGGCTATAGAAGTTAGCTTACAGGCTGAATTTTCTTTCCGTATCACGTACCTATTATTAGTATTAGTTCGAAAATGGTTTGGGAGTTCGTTTTTTCCCCACATAATTCACCACTAAATGACTTTGTATTTCTTTAGGCAAATATTTCATAATTTTATTCACAAGGGCTGATACTGCAGAAAGCTTCAGGCCAATTTCTTGTTGCAAAGGATAGGCTGTAGGGCGGAAAGACCGAAGGCTGAAGGTTGAACGTTTGAAAACTGAAGCCAGCCAGTGGTGGGATTCAAAAATGTTTACTACCGGTTCTGTGGGCGTGGCTTGATGGGTGTGGCCATGTGGCTGGGTGGGTGCAGCTTTTTTTTTTTTTTTGCTTTTTTGCCGCCCCTACCCATTTTGGGGAGCTTTCTAGCCCCAGAGGAGTCTCTGGGGAGGGGGCGTTATTGCTCCCCTAAAGCTCTTCTATGGCTCAGGATGAAAAAAAATCGGAGCATGCACCCCTCTAAAGGATACACAGCACCCCTCTAAGCTCCATTTTGGCAGCTTCCTAGCCTCAGAGGAGCCTCTGGAGGGGTTTTTGCTCTCCTAAGGCTCCTCTTGGGCTCTGGAAGGCAAAAAGTGGAGGGGGGGGGACTGAGCTCCTCCCTCCATTTTTTGCCTTCCTGGGCTTCAAGCGAGGGGGATCCCGGCACAGCTGATCTATGCACAGCTGATTGTCGGGAGGGGAAAAAAAGAAATACCTTAGGCGAATGTCAGGCAGGCGGGGTGAGCGAGCATTGGGCGGGAGGGCGACTGGGTCGGGGGCGTGGCCAGCCAGAAGTTACTACCAGTTCGGCAACCCACGCCAAATTATTGCTACCGGTTCTCCCGATCCGGTGTGAACCAGCTGAATACCACCACTGAAGCCAGCTCACATGAAGTTGGTTGAGAGCACGAATCCTGGATATTTTTCAGCCCCATTGATATGTGGTGACAGTATCAGTCCCACAGTTATAAGCATATGCATGGAGAAACCCTTTTTCATGTTAATATCTCAATTTCTTAGTTCCACAGTTCATAATTCCAAATAAAATGCATATGGATGTATGCTTATGTAGATATAAATCATGTCATCCTTTTCTTCTTTCTATTTTTGCAGGTGGGAACCAGGATGGAAAATTCAGTGTTGGCTTTAGAGATGGTATAGTTAGAACTGTTGTCAACCTGGATAGAGAAACCATGCCGTTCTACAGCCTTATCCTAGAAGCCATTGGTAAGCATGTCTATTCTTCATCCTTCTCTTAAGAACTCATATTTCGGCTTTTGGGGTAAGGAATTCAAAGCAGAGGTCTCCAAACTTGGCAACTTTAAGACTTGTGGACTTCAACTCTCAGAATTCTGGGAGTTGAAGTCCACAAGTCTTTAAAGTTGCCAAGTTTGGAGAGCTCTGGTCTAAAGGACCTAATTTGCAAATTGGTAGTATAGTTTTCCCACCTGAAGTTTTCAGAAAGAGAAAATTGGCTTTTACTGATCTTCAGACTATCCTTCATGAGCCATGAATTTTTATCTATTATTCTGGAAAGGAACCTCTTCGTGGACTTCTACGAGGTGTAGTTTCTGTTTTATGAACTTGCATTCTTCCGCATATTGTGCGCTGAAATATAAGTGAGCTACTGCCATGCACTAAGTTTGAATGTAGATTAGTTAGGAAAAAATGACAATCGTAGGAATTAAGCATTTATTTTAATCTTTATGATATTAGATGATATAACATGATAACACATATTTATGAAATACCATTCACAATGCAGTAATATTTGCAGGGGGACATTAATTCAACAATGTTTACCATTCTGAGCACCAGATTGTTATACAGCAAACATGCGGCAAGGTCATTTGGTGTCTTATAAACTGCACTGCACAAAATATAAATGTCTTCCATCAAGTAAGATATAAAAACGTAACCAAAAGCATGGTAAAATAGAGATCCTGCATTCTAAAAATCAGAAGCCATTGAAAAAAAGGCTAACAAGTTGCCAGAAACCATGTCTTGATGACACAAGCATTAATTTATAAGAACTCAAAGAAGTGGCTACTGCATTGTACAATATCAATCCTGGTCTTATGATGCCTCTTAGATTTAGAAGTAATTGGACAACAGTACTTCAGATATAATCTAATACAAATTAAACAAAAGCTGCAATGTTTGTTAGATACTACCTTCTGTTGTGGTTCCCCGACAGCCGGTGCAGACTGCAGCGGAATCAGACAGTGGCAGAAGAAAGGGGACCAGTCAGGGAGTCTGGAGTGGACTTGGACGAGGGTCCTGTGTCCAATGCAGGGATGGGACCAGAACCATCTGGGAGTGGGGTGCTACCTTCGGAGTCTGGCAGCAGTGAAGCAGAGAACCCAGTGGAGCCTGTTTCTAGTGCACGTATGCCCAGGGCTGCTAGAAGGCAAAAGCAGCTGAAGCAGAAGAGGTGACTCAGGAGTAAGGCTGGAGGGTGATTGCCCCTCCCATAAGGGATAAAAGTCAGACCTCAATGACAAAATCTTTGCAGGAAGCAAAGTAGTTCGAGAGATTCCGAGTCCTCCTTGAAGCTTTGTGTATTCTGGTTGTTTTTTCTGGTACTTGGTTGGTTTCTGTTATAATTAATTGGATACTTCTGTTTTTGGCAGCATTCCAAAGCACTGAAAGGCATGTGCTTATCTTGGGGAACTGTTTAAGATTAGTTCTGGCTGGGAATGAAAGCAATTCTAAGCGTTGCAATAAAATAGGTTTTGCTTTTAAAACAAGGTTGTGTTTAATTACGTTTGACGAAGCCTGGGTCAGAACACCTTCATCCTGTGTTATCTTTGTTCTCTTGATATTGTCACTCATTGACATTCCAACCAGACTTAAAGCTTTCCTCGAGTTCGCAAACCAGCTCAACCTTGGTAACCATTAAGATGTGATGTTGACGTCCTCACCCTCATAAAGTTGCCAAGATTGAGCAACACTGTTGTAGACATAAACATTTAGTCCAATCCCAAGCAAGTACCTACCTGCCTAGAAAAGGTAATTGCTAGGGCTCCAGGAGCCAGTGACAACTCTTAGAAAGTAATGGTTCAGAAATTATTCTAAATGAAGATGGTAGACAGAAAGGTATGAAACGTTTCACCCTTATTTTCTTTAGAATTTCCTATGATTGATCGTTACGCAGTCGGTGGAACGGACAGAGCTTTTCTTCTGAATGTTGAGGAGATGACCCAGACCTTGTGTTTTGTTCTCACAGATAATGGTCCAACGGGAAAAAGAAGGACTGGCACTGCAACCGTTCATATCACAGTGCTGGATGTTAATGACAACCGACCCATCTTTCTTCAGAGCAGTTATGAAGCTACTGTGCCAGAAGACATTCCCGATTACAGCAGCATAGTACAGGTATGCAACTAAACTTTTCAATAAGGTTTGGTGCATGAAGAGAAGAGGAGGGAGGACAAATGAGAAGCACCAGCTTTGTCTCACCGCAGTCGCGCCGTTAGCTATAATCATATCAAAGAGCTCAAATCAGCTAGATGGTGTTAATGTTAGCCAAGGCCTCTGTCAGATATGTGCCATTGCATGAACTCCATTGCAATTAGCAATCACTCATTTCCCCTATCATTGGAAACTCCTAAGTGTAGGTAATGATTTAGAGGCATTAGCAGGCAGGAGATCTAGAATTAATTTTAATAATGCCAGAAAGCTGGGACCCAGGCGTTGAAGCTAACAGCGTTATACTATTAGAAGCCCTAAGTTGCAGAAACATAGAACGCAATAATTATTTTCTATTGATTCAGAAATTAAATGCATCCCTGAACTAGTTCATGGGCTACCTTGAATCAAGCAGTGTTCTCAGGGCTAGGTTTTTGAGTGTAAGTCAAGTTCTTCTAAACAGATCTGCTTTCAGGAAGATATTGGCTGTCTGGATTTATCTCTGACTATGCATACAAAGCAGGTTTACAGGGGGTGGGGGGAATGAAGGAAAAGATTTCACATCTCATTTCTTTTTTCGTTTTTGTTCCTCTTTTTGAAGTGAACCTTTAACAGAATGAATGCATACATTCACAGAGTTTCTCTGGTGTTTTCAGTTTCTCTTCAAACCAAACATTTCTCCTGTAAGAGGTAGTTCTTTGAGTTAGCCTGCTTTTTCTGGAATTCCCTTTTCTAATCAGAGGAAGAAATAATAAAATTGTATCACTGTGTTCCTGTCACAGAATTTTTTTTGGACAGTAAGGGTTGAAGCCTGAAATATTGGGATAATGTAGTGAAGACTTTAGTTGTCTGGAACAAAAATTGCATCAAAACATTGAACCGTATGGTGTTAAAACTGCTACAGAACACATAGAAGCTTGTGAATGATGAAGTTTAAGGGGTCTTTTATATATAAAAAGAATATTTGAGATACCACATTGCTGATTTTCAGTAACTTCTGTGATCTGCAAGGTGCTTTTTTTCTATCCCCAAATAAAACTTACAAGATGGCTATTTCAGAATATTGACCAATCTCTTTTATTTTCAAAATTAAAATTGACAACATTTCAAAATATTATCTAGTTTAAGAATGACGTCAGTGCTTCAGTGCTGGTTTTGTGTGCTCGGTGCCATTTCAATATACGACAGTTTCTGATATGGAATCATATAGTTGGAAACTAAATTGAACTCAAGTAGCCAAATCTTCTGAAACATTATAGGAAAATTGATTGATTTATTGGATTGATTGATTGATCAAATTTATTTGTCATCCATCTCATGGTTCGAAGCGACTCTGAGTGGATACACTTCCAGAAGAAAGAGAGAAAGCATGCCTATAGGGGATCTCCTATGAAACTCTCTGTATAAATTGGAAAAATTGCTTTTCTGGCAAAAATGACAGTCAAAAGCATTAACGTGAACACAAAAACAATTCTCACAAGCCAAATTCAAAAAAAAGACAATTCAATAAACGTTTTAGTTCAAAATCAGTTTTACAACTGAGCCAAGGGAGTCCTTTGGATTAAACTTGTGTTTTGCCATCTACTGTATGTCATGAATTCTTTTAAGTGGCTGGCAATATAAACTATTCATATTCTGGACTTGGCATTCTTCTTTGATTCATGTGAGGAATTGCCATTTATTACTGTATATATTTCTATATATAGTAGAATAGTAGCACATACTATTAAGAGGCCCAAAGATTACTTTCAGGTTAGATTTAAAGGCAATTCTTACATCACTACCTTTATGACAGCGATAGTGATAACACTTAGCAATAGCACCTACTATATATACTGCCCCATAGTATTTTATAACACCCTCTGAGCAGTTAACAATATCAGCCTATTGTCCCCAACAATTGGGTCCTCATTTTACCAACCTCAGAAGGATGGAAGGCTGATTGAACTCCTGGCAGTGGGCAGAGTTAGCCTGCAATACTGCATTTTAACCACTGGGCCACCACAATGTAAGAACTACCTTTAAAGCTCAGCTCAAAGTGGTCTTTGGGCCTCTTTAACGTATATTATCAACCATGGCAAATTTAAGATATGTGGCTAGGGAATTCCAGGAGCTGAAGTCCACAGATCACACAAAGTTGCCAAGCTTGAGAGAAACCGATATAGTATGTGCTAGATATGAATAGCCATTCTTGGATAGTTAATGCTGCTTAGTTCCAAATGGTACATTGCAGGGAGCAATTTGTGATGGATCTTATCAAGTAATTATTCCCCCGTAGTTGTGTTGGGAGCAGAGGTGGGGACAACACATCTTTGTATTGATTCTCCCATTGATTTCAAGTCATCAATACAGCATGCATGTGTGTGTGTGCGTGCGCGCGCGCGCGCGCACGCACATGTGTGCACGTACCCCAACAACAAATTACTTTGGTCACGGACCAGCATAGAATGCAAATAAGCAAACATACATCCATTTCAATAATTTCCATAATTCTTCATTGGAATTTGAAAATCCCATCACTACCCCACATTCCCATTATCGTATCCAATTAAGAAAATATTTTCCTTCAGGATCAGGCTTTACAAGGTGGAGTATGAACCTGTCCCAATCCTAGAAGGTTGTTATTCAGAATACCAACTGAAGACATGAAAAGCATTTTGGGAAACTACTAAACAGTTTAGATCTGCCTAACATTGTTATTAATTTATCCAGTTGTATCATCATATTATGACTAGGCTGCACAATAATCAGCTTCGAAGCACGAGAACTCCTCCTCTGTCTAAATGC